CACTATCGAACACAATCATAGGTCAGCCAGCCTGCCAGCTGAATTGACAATTATTTAACATTCTGCAATAGAAAGTGCTGAACAAAACAAAATCAACAAAAGCTTTTCGTTCAACAAAAGCGGTCAGACTTAATGTATGAATTTTAATTTGTTCGTCCTTGTAGAACTTGAATAAACAAATTCCATAATGCTTTCCAGGATTATTCAAAGATAACAACAACAGCAATTGAGTTTTCAAGCGTTTTCTACCGGTTTGTAATCTATCAATTAGTGTCAAGGGTTATGGATGAAGTAAAAGAAGACGAAGAAGGCTTGGTAAAATGCGAAAAGGAAAATATTGACGTTGTGGATAAATAACCAACCACAACCGCATTTTATACAAACGCACAAGGTTCGGAGAAGGTTTAAGGATTTGAGTTGAAAATGTTAAATATAAAAGAAAACATTTTTTGAGTTTTACAATAAAAAAAAGAAAAATTATTGAAGGGAAATATGTGGGGGTGATTTTTTAATCAACGTCATATACAGATCTCTTTAGATCTATGTAGAGAGCTAATAGTCCCTCAAAAAATTATTCATAAACCAGTAAGGAAAGAAGTAAAGTCGGACGGGGCCGACTATATGAAACCCTTCACCACTTTGGTTAAATACAAGAGATGATCATATGTACAATATCCTGAGGAAATTACGAAATTTTGAAATTTAATCCTATACCCATACAATTCTGAAATCTATGAAAAATTACATGTTAATCGAACGAACTTGGGTTATTTGGTGTACCATTTGTATGAAATCGAGCACAATAGTGTATAAAACGTATTTGAGCAACCACTTGGTATGATGCAGCACAGTGTGCTGTTCAACTTTTATTTCGATCGGAGAAACGGTTATTATTTGGTGCAAAATTTGCTCGAACTCACACGAAAATATAAATCGTATATATCAACATATGCAAACATTTTACATAATCCAATATAGGTTATTCTAGATTTAATTTCGTTAAATCGGAGGAAAATATGTATGGGAAGCTATATCTAAATCTGAACCGATTTTCCCGAAACTTAAGACACACCATTCTAGGCTCAATACAGTACTCCATGCCAAAGTTCGTGCAAATCGAAATATATATAGAGGCTTTGGTATACCAAATACATTAAATCGAAAGAAAATATATAGGGGAGCTATACCTAAATCTGAACCGATTTTCAGGAAACATAGCACACATCATTCTAGGCTTAATTCAGTACGCTGTGACAAATTTGGTGCAAATCGAAAGATATATAGGAACTTTGGTGCTCCGTCTATATTAAATCGGTTGAAAATATATATGGGAGCTATATCTAAATCTGAACCGATTTTCACCAAACTTAACACACATCATTCTAAACCTAATTCAGTACCCTATGCCAAATTTCGTGGAAATCGAATGATATATGGGGATTGTGGTGCCCCATTTTCCTTAAATCGGACGAAAATATATATGGGAGCTATATCTATATCTGAACTGATTTTCATGAAATTTGCACACATCATTCTGGGCCTAATTCAGTACCCTATTCAAAATTTCGTACACATCGAAAACTATTTAGGGACTTTAGTGCACAATTTACCTTAAATCGGACAAAAATATATATGGGAGCTATATCTAAATCTGGACCAAATTTTCACCAAACTCGGCAGACATCATTCTAGGCCCACTTCAGTACGTTATACCAAATTTCGTGCAAATCGAAAGATATATAGGGATTTTGGTGCACAATTTACCTTAAATGGGACAAACATATATATGAGAGCTATATCTAAATCTGAACCGATTTTTCCCAATTTCAATAGGGTTCGTCCTTGGGCCAAATAAGTGACCTATGCCAAATTTCATCCAAATCGGATCATAAATACGACCTGTACTTTGTTCAAAAAAATACATGGACGGACGGACATGCATAAATTGACTTAGAAAGTGATTCTATGCAAATTCTCAAAAGGAACCATGTGTCTATCTCGTTTCCTTTTGCCTGTTATAAACAAATGCACAAAGACATAATACCCTGTACCACAGTGTGGTGAAAGGTATAAAAAAATCTCTATGGCTTATAATCCTTCCAAAAATATTCATTAAAAATTCACCCCTTGGGAATTGATAAAACTTTCAAACATATAAAATAAATCCACAGTTGGAAGACTGATAGTCCTTGAGAAAAATATTCTTTCAAAAAAAAACCTTCCTCGATGGCAGAAAATCCTTCGAAAACTATTTTTTAAAAATCCACACCTTGGGGATAATAGCCCTTCCAAAGAAATGTTTTTACAAATCCACACCTGGAGAGATTTGAAGGCACATAGAAAATAGTCTTTATGGAAGGACCTGGATAGTTTATGGTCCTTGCAAAAATATTCTTCAAATATCCACGACGGGATAGCTTATTGTCCTTCCAAAAATATTTTTTAAAAAATCCAATGCCTGGATAGCTCTAGTCTTTGGGAAAATTATGCTTTAAAAGTACACACTTGGAGAGCTCTTGAAAAAATAAATTCGCAACAAAAATGCCATCCAAAAATAATTTTTTTTTTTAATTCGAATATATTCGAAATGTATATGGGTCTACCATTTAATATAAAAATACTTTCGTTAAACACAGCATATTTTTAGGCACCTTCCACTGGCCTAGTTGCAGCAGTAGACAACAATACCAGAACCGACATGTCTAACAAAATATGATCCCAATTTCTAATATATATGTCGATACATACATATGAATGTGTCAAGTATGTACACATATATTGTATGGATATAGCAGGTTTGTTGTGAGATTCAAGCTGATAATAAGTCGCAACGCATAGAAACAGGTCCCTCTCTTGGGCTGAAGCAATTACCGGACTGGCATTGCCGATGTGTGTCATAAAACCGTCATTGCGAGAGTATGAAAACTTCAATACTTCTTAATCAGTATTTTCACTATGTAACTTACCATACTCAAGAAAACTACTAGAAAAGAATTATAATAACTAAAGGGTGCAGATTACCCATACCATTATTAATTAATTTAATAATATGATTGGAAATATGAAAAAAATAATTTATATTAAATTTATATTTATTAAATTTACAGTCTATCAAATTAAAAGATTTTGAAAATCACTAAATTTCATATAGATCCTGAAAAAATATTCTTTAACAAATCCTAGCCTCACGTAGACCCTGAAAAAATATTCTTTAACAAATCCACGCCTTATGTAGACCCTGAAAAAATAATCTTTAATAAATCCACGCCTCAGTTGGCCCTTGAAAAATATTCTTTAATAAATCCACGCCTCAGTTGGCCCTGAAAAAATATTCTTTAATAAATCCACGCCTGAAAAAAATATTCTTTAATAAATCCACGCCTCAGTTGGCCCTTGAAAAAATATTCTTTAATAAATCCACGCCTCAGTTGGCCCTTGAAAAATATTCTTTAATAAATCCACGCCTCAGTTGGCCCTTGAAAAATATTCTTTAATAAATCCACGCCTCAGTTGGCCCTTGAAAAATATTCTTTAATAAATCCACGCCTCAGTTGGCCCTTGAAAAATATTCTTTAATAAATCCACCTCAGTTGGCCCTTGAAAAATATTCTTTAATAAATCCACGCCTCAGTTGGCCCTTGAAAAATATTCTTTAATAAATCCACGCCTCAGTTGGCCCTTGAAAAATATTCTTTAATAAATCCACGCCTCAGTTGGCCCTTGAAAAATATTCTTTAATAAATCCACGCCTCAGTTGGCCCTTGAAAAATATTCTTTAATAAATCCACGCCTCAGTTGGCCCTTGAAAAATATTCTTTAATAAATCCACGCCTCAGTTGGCCCTTGAAAAATATTCTTTAATAAATCCACGCCTCAGTTGGCCCTTGAAAAATATTCTTTAATAAATCCACGCCTCAGTTGGCCCTTGAAAAATATTCTTTAATAAATCCACGCCTCAGTTGGCCCTTGAAAAATATTCTTTAATAAATCCACGCCTCAGTTGGCCCTTGAAAAATATTCTTTAATAAATCCACGCCTCAGTTGGCCCTTGAAAAATATTCTTTAATAAATCCACGCCTCAGTTGGCCCTTGAAAAATATTCTTTAATAAATCCACGCCTCAGTTGGCCCTTGAAAAATATTCTTTAATAAATCCACGCCTCAGTTGGCCCTTGAAAAATATTCTTTAATAAATCCACGCCTCAGTTGGCCCTTGAAAAATATTCTTTAATAAATCCACGCCTCAGTTGGCCCTTGAAAAATATTCTTTAATAAATCCACGCCTCAGTTGGCCCTTGAAAAATATTCTTTAATAAATCCACGCCTCAGTTGGCCCTTGAAAAATATTCTTTAATAAATCCACGCCTCAGTTGGCCCTTGAAAAATATTCGTTAATAAATCCACGCCTCAGTTGGCCCTTGAAAAATATTCGTTAATAAATCCACGCCTCAGTTGGCCCTTGAAAAATATTCGTTAATAAATCCACGCCTCAGTTGGCCCTTGAAAAATATTCGTTAATAAATCCACGCCTCAGTTGGCCCTTGAAAAATATTCGTTAATAAATCCACGCCTCAGTTGGCCCTTGAAAAATATTCGTTAATAAATCCACGCCTCAGTTGGCCCTTGAAAAATATTCGTTAATAAATCCACGCCTCAGTTGGCCCTTGAAAAATATTCGTTAATAAATCCACGCCTCAGTTGGCCCTTGAAAAATATTCGTTAATAAATCCACGCCTCAGTTGGCCCTTGAAAAATATTCGTCAAACATGTTGTATACCCAAACAACAACAACACCCCACTCTGAACACACAACGCAGCCACTTGTTATCTCAAATCTCCAGTTTTTAAAAAGACCATAAAAATAAAACAAATGCATAAATTTACTTTTTTGTTGTTTTTTTTTATTTCTACTCATTTTCAAACGCACATATGTACGTTTGTTTGTGTGTTCATTTGTATGCCGGCATAACAAAACAAAAAACAATATCTACATCAAAATCCACTAATTTGTTCACGAAGTTTCTTCTTTGGCTTTCTTGTTTTCAACCATTTTGGCATTAACAAAATTGTAAAGAATTTCAGCACCCTCTTGATTATTCTTCTTATAGTAGGGCAACTCCGAGAGACGTTCAACCCAGGCTTTCAATTTGGGGAATTTCTCCTCTTCAATGGGGGCAAACAACATACCGGTCGACACGGAGGCAATGCAACACAAATCGGCAATGGTCAGATTATCACCACATAAATATTTCGAATTGGCCAAAGCCTTTTCCAAGCCATCATAGGCTTTTTGCATATAGGCCACCTTTTCAGGACCAATTTCATATTGGCCAAAATAGATGATGGGTTCGACCATAATGCGAACGCGCGGGAATAGATGGCCACAATCGAAATAGAGGCGAGAATCGACTTCCATGCGTTTCAATTTATCCTTGGGATACATGGATTCGTCGACAGCATATTTATCGGCCAGATAGGAGCAGATGACATGGGAATCGGTAATCACAACACCATCATCATCCAGTACGGGAATGGTGTGCAGGGGATTCAATTTCAGGAATTCGGGAGTCAGGTGGTCACCATCTTTCAAATTCATTGCTCTGAAAAATGAAACAAAAATTTAAACAAATTAGAAAATAGACTTGGGAAACAAAAGTATAAGTCGATTGATCGGTCATTAACTTCAGTTGCTTGGCTTACCTCAATTCCAAATCAACTCCCAAAGCGGCTGCTGTCAACAGCACCGCCCGACATGGTGGACTGCGTGGTGTGTAATACAAAACGGGTTTCTTTGACATTTTTTGTTTTCGTTCAAAAGTTATCTAGCGGGATGTAGACGAAAATATTTAGTATTTATTTAAATTGTTATTATATCTGGAATTTGTTTAAATTTAATTATTTAGATGACAACCGGTGTTATTGAAACATTCATTTACGTGTCCACTTGAAAAAAAAATACACAAAAACTTGCTACCATACAAATAAATGCTCACAAGATAAGCAATCGGTATTTTAGCGCAACCCGTCAACCTACCTTTTCACTGAGAAGAATAAATTCCAACTGATCAACAAAACACTGCCGATCGATGGCATGACTGTGTGGAACCCAGAGAGTGTTGTGAGAGAGCACACTCATATTTCAAGAGATGAGATGATCTGTGGTGTACAAAAAATTGTACTGTTGTACATTTTCAAAAATGTGTTCGTTAATTATTTTTTTAAAAATAAAATATATTTTTTTTAATATTATTGGATTGTTGAAATAAATATTGTTTCAATTTCAAAAAACGGACTTTTGAAAAATATATTTTTTTTTTCAAAAAGTATAAGAAGCGTGGATATTTAAACACTATTTTTTTAAAATCTATCAGAAGAGTGGATTGTTTTTTTTTTTTAATGTTTTCAAGGTTTAACAGAAGTGTGTCATATTTAAAAAAAAAAAAATATTTGTCAAGGTCCACCAGAAGTTTGGGAAGTCAAATCTTCCTAGCAAAAATTATCAATATCGGTTTACGTTTTGGTATAGCTCCCATATAACGGTACCGACCAATTTTCGGTATTTTTAAGGCCTTAGCTAAAATGTTTCCCATCGATGGGGCTGTAATTTGGTAAAAAGGCTTATTGAATGCCTTTAAAAATGTTCCAATGTACTTACTCCGTTCAGGAACTTGAACTTTTTATTATGCCTTTGTGCATATATTTGTAACAGGCAAAAATAATCCAGAAAGACCCATGGTTCCTTTTGAGAATATGCATAGAATCACTTTCTGAATCGATTTACGCATGTCCGTCCGTACGTCCTTGTATTTTTGTGAACAAAGTACAGGTCGCATTTATGATCCGATTTGGATGAAATTTGGCAAAGGTCATTTGTTTGGCACAAGGACGAACCCTGTTGAAATTTGGAAAAATCGGTTCAGATTTAGATATAGCTCCCATATATATTTTCGTCCGATTTAAGGTAAATGGTGTACCAAAGTCCCTATATATCTTTCGATTTGAACGAAATTTGGCACAGCGTAGTGAATAAAGTCTAGAATGATGTGTGCAAAATTTCGTGACAGTCGGTTCAGATTTAGATATAGCTCCCATATATATTTTCGTCCGATTTTCTGTAAATGGTGCACCAAAGTCCCTATATATCTTTCGATTTGCACAAAAATTTGGCACAGCGTAATGAATAAAGTCTAGAATGATGTGTGCAAAGTTTCGCGAAAATCGGTTCAGATTTAGATATAGCTCCCATATATATTTTCGTCCGATTTAAGGTAAATGGTGTACCAAAATCCCTATATATCTTTCGATTTGCACGAAATTTTGCACAGCGTAATGATTTAGGTATAGAATGATGCGTGTTAAGTTTCCTGAAAATCGGTTCAGATTTAGATATAGCTCCAATATATATTATCGTCCGATTTAATGTAAATGGTACACCAAAGTCCCTATATATCTTTCGATTTGCACGAAATTTGGCACAGCGTAATGATTTAGGTATAGAATGATGCGTGTTAAGTTTCCTGAAAATCGGTTCAGATTTAGATATAGCTCCAATATATATTATCGTCCGATTTAATGGAAATGGAACACCAGAGTCCCTATATATCTTACGATTTGCACGAAATTTGGCACAGCGTAATAAATAAGGTCGAGAATGATGTGTGTTAAGTTTCCTGAAAATCGGTTCAGATTTATATATAGCTCCCATGTATAACTTCGTCCGATTTAAGGTAAATTGTGCACCAAAGTCCCTTTATATCTTTCGATTTGCACGAAATTTGGCACAGCGTAATGAATAAGGTCTATAATGATGTGTGCAAAGTTTCGTGAAAATCGGCCGAGATTTAGATATAGCTCCCATATATTGTTTGGTCCGATTTCATGTAAATGGTGCACCAAAGTCCCTATAAATGTTTCGATTTGCACGAAATTTGGCACAGCGTACTGAATTGAGCCCAGTGTGATGTCTGCCAAGTTTCGTGAAAATCGGTTCAGATTTAGATATAGCTCCCATATATATTTTCGTCCGATTTTCTGGTGCACCAAAGTCCCTATATACCTTTCGATTTGCACGAAATTTTGCATAGCGTACTGAATAAAATCTAGAATGATGTTAGTTAAGTTTCGTGAAAATCGGTTCAGATTTATATATAGCTCCCATATATATTTTCGTCCCGATATATATTTTCGTCCCGAAATTTGGCATAGCGTATTGAATTAGGTCTAGAATGATGTGTGTTAAGTTTCCTGGAAATCGGTCCACATTTACATATAGCTTCCATATATATTTTCGTCCGATTTATGGTAAATTGTGCACCAAAGCCCCCATATATCTTTCTATTTGCACAAATTTTGGCATAGCGTACTGAATTAAGTCTAGAATGATGTGTGCAAAGTTTCGTGACAATCGGTTCAGATTTAGATATAGCTCCCATATATATTATATTGTGCACCAAAGTACCGATATATGTTTCGATTTGCACGAAATATAGCTCCCATATATAGTTTCGCCCGATTTTAGGTAATTAATGCACCAAAGTCCCTGGACATATTTTCATTTGCTCTAATTTTGGCACAGCGTAATTCATTAGAATGATGTGTGTTAAGTTTCGTGAAAATCGGTTCAGATTTAGATATAGCTCCCATATATATTTTCCTCCGATATAATGTAAATGGTGTACCAAAGTCCCTTAATATCTTTCGATTTGCACGAAATTTGGCACAGCGTAATGAATTAGGTCCGGAATGAAGTGTTTTAAGTTTCCTGAAATCGGTTCAGATTTAGATATATCTTCTATATCTGACCAAATGAAAAATTTAGTATCGGTTGCAGAATGACATGTTTATGGATCCAATTTCGTTTTACTGGTCCTTAAAAAATGCGACGTCTGTTAGGATTCATCTGTTGAATATACCCAAAGTGGTGAAGGGTATCATATAGTCGTCCCCGTCCGACTTTACTTCTTTCCTTACTGGTTTTCTTTTAAAATTTTCAAGTTTCCCTCCAATTCTTAAATTTTTGTAAAAAAAAACAAACATTCAATGATCCATATCGCCACCAACAATTGTCATCATCACCGAAATAAAATGTCGATGAATTTCGTCAATATTTTATTATTCACAGGACAACACCTAACCTTTTGGCATGGCAGATTGAATGAGGCCACAATTCGTCGCTTCGTTGCCATTGTCCAAAAAGTCTATCTAATTGCAATTTTTGCTATTTCAGCAAAGCCTCGAGCAGTCCTGATTGAAATTGAAAAAAAAAAATACTGGCCTTACTCAACAAAATACTGCCTCCTAATGTGGGTGAGTATGTGTGTGAGAACTTTTCTTCACCTTGGAATAACACTTTACCCCTAACAAACGATAAAGGCCAACAAAGGCAGCATTTAGCATAAAACATCCCTGGCCTTTATCCTCAAAAAAAAAAATCAACGTGGAACCCGGTTATGATACTCAAGCCCACAATACGACATGCATACAAAAAATTTACTGACAAGGCTTCATTTTGAGAATGAAAACCACAAAAGCACATCAACACACACGGATATACATTACTGTATGTATGCCTGACATACCCTACAGCCAACTCTCGTAGATATGTCATACATATCACCAACAGCCCCTAAAGGATAAAATGGCACGCTTTGGCGTTCATTTTTTGTTCGCTTCGCTCCCTTTCGTTTCGGGTTTTGTTTGCATTTGCAGTGCAGAGGCCCACAACCGACTGAGTGCCCAACCAGGAAATTTTAACTTACATTAAGTTATGCTCCAAGCAGAAGGAGGGGGATGCTGATGTGGATTTGGATGCCGATGACGACTGTTGGTTTGGCTGGCTGAATGGTTGGATGGCTGACTGACTGTATGATGAAGTGTTTGAGTTTTGGTGACATGTTTTCCATTTCTAATGAGACACAAAATATTGTCCTCCATTGTTTTGTTTTGCTATACAGATGTGTGTGTGTGTGTGATCCTGTGTTTGTGACAGCTGAATTTGCCAAGGTACAAAAAAAACAGCAGGAATGAAAACCAAAAGTTTTCCAGTCTTCCCCAAGGTTTACCTTTACTAAAACGGTTGCTTTAATGGCAATTTTTCTTTAAAAAGAACAGAATTTAAATAAAATCGAAAAACACGATTTGAATTCGGAATGAGGGAAATTGGTGCATGTTTGAAAACCGCAAATGGTGCCGTCTTTAGATATGTGTTATTTTTGCTTTAAAAAATCCACGTCTTGTTTTGGTCCTGGGAAAAATATTCTTTCAGTGGTCCTTAGAAAAATATTCATTAAAAATCCACACCTCTTTTGGTCCTTAGAAAAATAATATTTAAACCAGTAAGGAAAGTAGTAAAGTCGGACTGGGCCGACTATATGATACCCTTCACCACTTTATGTATATTGTACATATGTATCCTATCAAATCATATCAATGTTCCCTCGAAGAAACACACCTTTCTGCAACCTGTGCTAAATTTAATCTCAAATTTATGGAAATCGATTTATAGCAAACTTTATACACGCTACTCAGTATGCCGCACTGTTAAAAATATAATCTCAATCGTGTCAATCCAACAAACATTAGAAGTTTGGTACACCATTTACATTAAATCGGACGAAAATATATATGTGGGACCTATATCTAGATCTGAATCGATATTATTGAAGCTAAATACACCTCATTCTAGACTAATTCAGTACGCTATGCCGAATTTGGTGGAAATCGTAAGTTATATACGGATTTTTGGTACACCATTTACATTAAATCGGACGAAAATATATATGGGACCTACATCTAAATC